AAAATCATTGTTCTGAATTCAAACCTTCTTCACACATGAAATCACACTTGTACAATAAAATAGACTCTCAGGAATAAACTCTTGTATTAGTTCCCTCCTAGGAATTCCGTCTAGAATTTGCATCGCTCCTTTATAAGGAGCCTTTTCTTTTTTTTTTCAAGGTCTAAATAATTAACATCTATTTGAGACAATGGGGTTTAATTGCTGTAGCTTGACGCGAGCAGAGTTTTACTTTCATTTGAAACAATAAAAAGAATGATAATGCATGTTCCAAGTGTAGGCAAAGTTTTCTCTATGGAATCGGGTTGTAGAAGAGATGCTACTACTATTCATTAAATTGCTTGGATACTCATGTTTACACATTTTTCATTTGAAAATTGCATAGTTTCTGTCTTGGTAATTATTATAGAAGTATTTGTTTATGTAAAATAAATTGCTAATTTACTGATAGGTCGGAAATAATTTCTGAATAAAAAATTTAGAACAACATCGTTATTGTAAGGAAATATTTTCTTCGTGGTAGGTATGTCTATTTAATTCATAAGTCTACTTACTCAAGTTATAGGGGAATGGAATAGATTTTAGTGCTGTAATATAATTTCCTCTCAACGTATAATGAAAATAAAATTGGAAATATAATTTTTTTGCTGTTGGTGAAATCCTCTGGGATAACTCAAAGTGCTTCAGAACTTACCACTTTCATCACAACTTCTTCATATTCCTGTCTCTTATTCCTCAATGCCATAACATCATCGAGTTTCTAGAAAGAAATTTTTGATGTGTAGTAATGCATTCATCGATAAAATAGGAGGGTTCATTTTTACGGTTATGTCTCGACATTAATTAATTCCTGTCTGACTGGTTTAGCACGTTAATAAGTGAATGCAGATGTGGATGGAATTTTTTACTAATGTAAATGTTTATGGTTTGAAAATGATAGTTGCGGAAACTGAGGTATCATTAGGATTGATTACAGGAGAGAAAGATTCTCACTCACTTCTCGGTTTTCCGCGACTACTTCCAGCATTCTTTCATTAGACTCTTCGATTCGCTTGATTACCTGAACAGAGAAAGTTTTGATTAAATTTCGGAATTAATGGAGGATAAATTGTTGAATTGGGGCAGAGAATTTATTACTTCAAAATTGAGAATATTTTCCTCAGTGCAAGGACATCTTGAAACCATTGTATAAAACTTTCAAAACTATGCGACACTCTAATCTTAGAAAAACGATACTTTCAATTAACTAAATAATATACAAAATGTTCTTAGACATCAATCTTATAAACAAAACTTTCGAGGAGCTGAAACAATTGTAATTAGTCTGGAAAAATATTTGGAGAAAGAAAAATAATACATCTTTTTATGTTGTACCTTACTCGCATACCACAAAGCACCAAAAAACACGATGTACGTCAGAATGCAAACGTAGATATTATCAAAAATCCATTCCCTGATGAACGACTAAAAAATAAAGCATCGGATTAATGAACTGTTAAAAGGATAATTCAATCGGAATAAAAAAATAGAAATTTGGCTAACCTGTCTATCATAAATGTTAACGAATTTGAGGATTGGATGTGACTTTGCGAATCGTGAAAAATAGTATTGCCTGTGGGAATACATAATGGCATCGGGCGATCCATTAGCGGGAATAAACTACTATAAAATGGATGGGATATTGCTTATGATCTGGTAGAATTCCGTTTGTATAGTAGATAGTACAGATACTGGGGAACAATTTGTAGGCTGACAGAGTAAACAGCGTGACAGTTAATTCGTGAATTTGGCGCTGAATTGGTTGGTAAGCAAACGAATTAATTTTTTCCTTCGATGAGAGATATTCGACGATAATTCAATTATTTTAACTCAATAATCCAATATTTATTTATCAATGCAATATAAAATTGATGACCGTCTATCACACAAATACTTGAAAGAATGATTGATAATGAATGTGATTATCATCCCTTGGTCATAAATCACCGTGTCAATTAGGAAAAATTTAATAATTTTGTACAGAAAATTGGAGTCACCAGTGCGTAAATACTCTTTCGGTAATGGCATCTGGCGTTTTGTAGTTGTCTACACACCTAGTGTCAACGAAAACATGCCACGGGGCAAGGCACTTGAAGACGGCACGTGCCTGCTGTTACAGTTATTCCATGAATGCTGCCACTATGAGCTATATTTGAGCACATCCATGGCTTTCAGCCAATCGTTCATGGAAAACACTCAAAGGAAACCCCCGAGTAGAAATGTTGTCAGAGAGACTTTTTGGCAGAGAAAGCCCCATTCTGATATTAATATGGGATACCTGATTATGACACAATCGATCAGGTCCAAGCCAGGGTCTTCTGGGCATACTCGCCTCGAAAAATTGGACATTTATCCGACATGTCTGATAAATGCGGTGGTCTTTTTCAGCCGTTCTTGGTTTCTCAATCAATTCGAGTTGAGTATGGTCAGGTCCCGGCAAAGTTGATATCCTATACCCTTCGAAAATATAAATTAAGGAATGGCGAACATTGGCTGGTTACGATACGGTGCGCGTATGGTGTGCTGTACGAGATTTAGAATAATATTTTCATCGAGCAATTAGTCAGGACACTACTCATACCTGAAGGGTGATCCTATTTTAATTCTCCACTCTGAGCGATAATCTTTACTTTAATTTCGGTACCCCCTGTTTTCGGAAGTAGTATTTATTAATTATTAATTAATTCTTTACTTTATTTGTTCAACCAGTGAGCAATGCACGCTGCAGTAACGAGAGCTCTGGGTTATGATCCTAATCAGCTGCTAAAATCTGGTCCCAATCCCGTGTAGGTTTTTCATTAAACCATGTGGTAACTAAATTTCTCTTCCACTCCAATACTAAAATTTGTATACTTGATTCTCGACAGGTATTTGTCTCCAATTTCGATGAAAAGGTCTGACCGGATATGCATGGGGAATCTGCCCCCAACGAATTTCAAGGCGCCAATTTTTTTACATATTTATTACTTAAAAAGATA